ATAGGGTTTTAGGGCACCCCTGGGCACCGCCGGGCACCCCTGGGCACCCCCAGGCACGCCCAGGCACCCGGGCACCCGGGCGTGCGGCGAAAATCGGCGGCAAACCTAACCTAACCATATGAATCCGCTAGGACCCCGAGGCAAGCTCTGATCGGGGAAAATCGGGCCTGCAGCCCTGAACCCCATCTTTCCTTGTCGAACCAGATCGATCTATGAGGGTCCCCTGGCCCGAACAGTGAGAAGACGGCTGGCTCGAGAAAATTGAGACTCCATGATCTCAGGGTATTGGTGCCCGTTGGTTTCCCCACTCCTGCCGCTGGCGCTCGGACTCCTCCAGCCGCGCCCGCAGCTCCGCTTCCTGGTCCGCCTGGTCGGGGGTGGCCAAGAGGGGGGCGTCCAAGAGGGGGGGGGGGGGGGGGGCGCCAAATCATGGCCGGCGGCACGTGCGCGGCTCAAGGGGGGGGGGGGCCAGGGACGTCCCGAAATAGGCAGAGGCGCCATGACATCTGCGGAAATATCATGGCCCACGCCATGAAATCCCCACCTTGTCTTAGGTGGGGCATGTCCTCCTACAGGAAGATTTCGGACGAATCAATAAAAATAGTTCAACGATACGCCACAATAGCCAAAAATTGTCGAAAACTGGTCCCCAGACCATCTCTTGATTAGATGTATACGAATATTCCTCCAGTATCAGTGGAGGGACAGGCCCGACTTAAGCCCTCGTCATCACCCCCCTCTTGGCCGCCCCCGACCCCAGACCCCCGACGTCATGATTTGTTCAAAACGTCGACCCCCAGGGCTCCCGACCCATTCCCCGGGACCAATTTTTCATGCTGTCTGGCCCATTCCCCTGGCCCAGGCCTCGAGGCGGCGAGCACGTCGCCCGTGTCCCAAGGGACGCCGCGGCGCCAGCCAAAATGGACACGCCATCCCGTGGATGCGCCGCTCGCGGGGCATCCGCGGAGCCGCCGTGCACCTCGAGGACAGAAGAACAGACACAGATATACAAAAACAGCACCATAAGCATGAACATGAACATCCTAAACCGCCCTAGACGCCATGTTAACATACAAGCAAACATAAAAGCCATCAAGAAGAAACACGCCAGGAACAGAACCTGTTGGCGCCCCGCGCGGATTTCTAGGATCTGCGCTAACCCCCCTCCCCGGCGCGCGGAGCGCGCCAGGGGCGGCGCCGGAGGCGCCGCCGGGCGTCCCAGCGTGGATCCAAGAAAGCCGCGTGGAGCGCCAAAAGTTTCTGTTCATAGCTTTTTTCTTCATCAAACATACCCTTCAAGAACATGAAACCCTCCGCTGGCCCAAACTGAAGAACGCCCGAGGGTGCCATCCCCCAAGATGCACAATGTCCAGCAAACACGAAAAACGCTCGGGTGCCCCCCCTCGGTCCGACTGTATCCGTGGGGTCGCGAATCGGGGCAGTGCGCACGGCCAGGCCGAGGATGTGGCCGTGTTTCGCGCCCACGGCCATGGCGGCCCGAGCTTTCCCGTGGGCGCCCAGATGGCCTCCATGGGCACCCCTCGGGAGGCCCACCCGGAGGGCCCGCGGGGATCCGCGCTGGTGCGAAAGCCTGGAGGGCACCTCGGGCCAGGAGCGCCCCCGTGGGAACCGCCGAACCCTCCGGACTGGAGGCTTGAGACCTGCTGGGGCACCTGGAGGCTTCCAGCAGCAAGCTCTGGGGGTCTCTTGGGGCCCCTGGCGACCTCAAGGGACCCCAGGGGACCTCGGGAAACCTCCAGGGACCTCGGGTGACAACCGTGTTTTGGGACCTAGGTCGTTCTCCGAGGACGTCTCGAGCCGTTGGGTGTCCGCACACGTCAGGACGACCAGGCCCCCCAGAATCTCCGACGGCTCAGACCTCTGGGGATTTATTTCCAGGCGCTGCCACACGCAGAAGCACTCGACCGGCGCGTGCCAAAAGGTGGCAGGGCGAAACGGGAAGCACTGCAAGAGGACAAGAACCAGAGTCTAGCATCCACAAGCAGCACCACTTTGGGCCAAGGTGGTTTCTCAAAGTGTTCGCGCGTCCTCCTGCTCCCGATCCGCCTGCCACTTCGTCGTCATCGAGCTTTTCATCATCGTCGTCGTCCTGCCCTGCACCCACGTAGTGACTCTTCTCGCCCTCGCCCTCGCCCTCTCCCCTTCCACTTCACCCTCATCCTCACCATCCGCCTCCTCTCTTCCCCCTGTTCCTCCTCCTCTTCATTGTCTTGATCCTCCTGGTCATCCTTTCCTCTTCCTTCTTCTCCTTCTATACCTCCTCACATCACTCCCCCTCGTCCCCCACCTCATACGAATCCGCATCTTCCTCCTGCTGGTATTCCTCCTCGTCGTGCTCCTCCTCCTCCTCCTCCTCGTCAAACGCTACGTCCCCATCGCAGTCCACATTCTCTTTTACTCATCATGCCCTCCTTTCCCTCCTACTCCTCCTCTTCATCCTCCTCCTGATCATCCTCCTCCTGATCGCAGCGCTCCTCCTTGTATTCCTCGTATTCCTCCTCGTGTTCCTCGTCCTCCTCCTGATCACAGCGCTCCTCCTTGTATTCCTCGTATTCTTCCTTGTGTTCCTCGTCGTCCTCCTCCTCCTCCTCCTCCTCCTCCTCCTCCTCTCCGCAGCGGTTCTCCTCCTCCTCGCAGTCTTCTTCTTCCTCCTCCTCCTCCTCCTCCTCCTCCTCCTCCTCCTCCTCCTCTTTTTCCTCCTCCTCCTCCTCCTCCTCCTCCTCCTCCTCCTCCCCCTCCCCGTTGTTTTTCCCGTTTCTCCTCCTTCTCCTCCTCCTCCTCCTCCTCCTCCTCCTCCTCCTCCTTTTCCTTCTCCTCCTCGTCCCTCCTTTTCTCCGCTCCTTCCTCCATGCCAGGGCCAAGGACGCCTTCGCACTCCCGACGCCGCGCCCAGGGGAGGCACCCTCGCCGGGGGTGCCCTCAAACAGGTACGTAGCAGGGGCCTGGTCCCCTCTCCCTCCTCCGCTACTCCCTCTTCTCCACCTGCCCGTCTCCTGCCACGTCCTGCCTCCTCCCTGCTCACCGCGCTCTCGCCCCCAGGCACCTCCACTGCCCGTCCGAGAAGCCTTCGGAATCTACCCAGGAGTCGCGCTCAGCGCCTGGGCGCCGCTGCCTCCTCCGCCGGGCCAGGGGCGCCAAGACCGCCCCCCCCAGAGCACGATTCGACAGCACGACTGGAATCAAGTGGTTCGCTCGGGTCCGGCCCCGCCTCCCTCCCCCCTCCTCACTCTCGGAGCCCAGTGTCAGGGATGTCTCAAGCGAAACGCGCTAGACCACCTCGCGCGCAACATCTCAGAACCCAGAGTTGCGAGGATGCCTCAGGCAAAACGACCAGACCACCTATCGCGCGGCATCTCGAAGCCCAAAGTTGCGAGGACGTCCTAGGCGGAACAGGCTGGACCACCTCGCGCGCAGCATCGGTGAGCTCAGAATTGCGAGGGTGTCTCAAGCGAAACGCGCCAGACCGCCTCGTTCACAGCGTCGTGGAGCCCAAAGTTGCGAGGATGTCTCAAGCGAAATGGGCTGAACAACCTCGCGCGCGGCATCTCAGAGATTAGAATTGCAAAGATGTCTCACGCGGAACGCGCGGGACCACCTCGCTCGCGGAATCTTGGAGCCCAGATTTGCAAGGATGTCTCAGGCGGAACGCGCCAGACCACCTCTCGCGCAACATCTCGGAGCCCAGAGTTGCAAGACTGCCTCAAGCGAATCGGGCTGGACCACTCCTCGCGCGGCAGCTCGGAGCTCAGAGTTGCGAGGATGTTTCGGGCGCAACGCGCCAGACCACCTCTCGCGATGCATCTCGGAGCTCCGATGTTCGAGGATTTCTCTGACGAAACGCCCAACCCCAGCCAACTCAGAAACGAAAGTTGTGAGAATATCTCGTGCGAAACGGGCCGTACCACAAATCTGATTGAGGATGTCTCTGCTTTCCCTCCACCCGGCTAGACTTAGCTTCAATCGCAACAGCACCCCGTTCAGCAAGCTTTTCTGGGAAAAAGCCATGCGCACACACACACACTCACACACACACACACACTTTTTGCGTCGGTGGCTAGGCAGAGTGACTGCGCTGGCGGACAGGTCATGTGTAGGGCATGCATGTGAGCCGCAGTGCGAGAGGAAGGAGGGGAAAGCCAGGCACGAGCATGACGGAGGGGAGCGCACACGCACACACGCATACTAAAGGAGCCCGAGGGACACACAAATTAATGCACACAAATCCCAGGATTCCCCAGATGTTCCCATCTTTTCTGGGTTTTCGTCTTCCCCCCACTTTCCATAGTTTCCCATATTTTCCTGGGAGTCGACGAGTAATCGTGTCTGTGTGTTGCTTTCCCTCCCGACACACACAAAGCAAAACTCTCAGAGGTGGGGGTGGGCTCTTACAATGCCGCCCCCAGCGCACCACGCCCCGTCTCGTCGCATGCTGAGGGAGGCACAAGCATGGACGGAAGGAATGGAGGGAGAGAGAGAGAGAGACAGAGAGAGAGAGATAGGGGGAGAGAGAGAGGGAGAGAGAGAGGAAGAACAATGTATAGAGAGAGAGACTGTGAGAGGGAGAGAGGAAGAGAGAGAGAGAGGGAGAGAGAGGACAAATTATGGAAGGGAGGGAGGAGCAGAGCGAGGAGGAAAGAGTGAGGGGGACGTCGCACAGAAGCTCGACGATGCAGAAACTCGTCGAGCTGACTCATCCCAAGGCTCGCAAGCCGCGAGTCGAGGCGGAAGAGCTGATCACTAACACGGCGGGGAACTGCCCAAAAAGATATGCCAGGGGTGAGCGCTGGTTCCAAACAAACGGCGGACTAGGAGGAGCATACTCTCCGTCCTCCTCATCCGCCTACTCCCCCCTCCACCTCAACTCCTCAACTCTTCAACTCACTCTTCCTCCTCCTCCTCCTTCTCCTCCTCCTCCTCTTCCTCCTTCTCCTCCTTCTCCTAATATACAGCATGGGTATCATGGTCGAAAAGACGGCGGCCTTTGCGGCCTCCTCTGCCTTCGCCTTCGCCTCCGCCTCTGCATTGGCTTTCGCCTCCGCCTCGGCGGCCTTTGCGGCCTCCTCTGCCTTTGCCTTCGCCTCCGCCTCCGCCTTGGCTTGCGCCTCCGCCTCGGCGGCCTTCGCGGCCTCCTCTGCCTCCGCCCTCGCCCTCGCCTCTGCCTCCGCCTCTGCCCTGGCTCTGGCCTCCGCCTCCGCCTTCGCGGCCTCCTCTGCCTCTGCCTTCGCAATGGCGTTCGACTCTGCCTCGGCTGTGGGCCCCGATGACACGGCCAAGGCCGAACTCGGTCGGTGGCACGACTGTGGGGGGCTCGGACCTGGAAAAGCGCGGCAGCACCAGGGCCGGTGGCGGAGGGGGGAGAAGGAGAGGGAGAAGGGGGAAGGGGGAAAGCGCCTTCGCTTTCGCCGCAGCCCGAGCTTATGCTTCCGCTCGCTCGATGCCTCCTCCGCTGCTGCTGCAATTCCTCCCCCCTCCTCCTCAGTCCTCTTCCTCTTCATCCTCGTCGTCCTCGTGATCTCCGCCGGCGGGGCCAAGCCCTGCCGAGCAAGGAGCGAGGGGGAGGAGCATCACGAGAAGGGCGAGAAAACAGAGGAGGGGACATCCGTGACGAGCTCGAGTACTTGGGACTTGCTGATGGACGTCAGCCATGCTCACAGATGCCGCAGCCAGTCTGGGGGAGCACCGAAGTCGGGGAGGCGCCAACCCGGGTCAACGCTGGCCAAGGTCAGACAGGGCCACGTCGGGAACCCCGACCGGCGGCACTGTAGCTCCCAAAACCCAGGTCAGCGGAGGGCGGAGAGGGGGTGTCGCCTCACCGTGGCGCCCTTCTCTGGGGCAATCGGTGGGAGCCTGGGGGAGTCGGAGGGGATTCGCTGAGCCCCGTTAGCCCTGACCCACCTGACGTCAGCCGCGGAAGAGAGAGGAACTCGCAATCGAGCCACATCGCACAATCGGGCCGATCCGACGCGGTACGCGGTGGGCTCCCTCGCAGCAGAGGATGCGATCGCGGCCAGCAGTCGGCTCGAGTCAACTTGCTTCCTTGTTGTCCTCATCTTGCTCCTCCTCCTCCTCCTCCTCCTCCTCCTCCTCATCATCATCATCATCATCATCAGTAGCACTATCATCATGATCTCGGCGCAGGAGAGGTGCAGCCATCGTGCAACCCTAGGGAGCGCAGAAGAAAAGGTTTTGGGGGGCCGCACTGGGCCTGGGCCACAACCAGCTTCCACGACAGGAGTCAAAGGAACGGCCCGAAAACCCGAGCTAAGACGAAGCCAGAACGAGGATGAATTCGGGTGAGGATAAATCGAGAACCTCTGAGATCCGGCGGCTCTGGAGGATTCATCGGACGTCGCGGCTTTCTCAGAGCGTTCTAGAACGCTCTGAAATCCTTCTGGAACGCTCTGAAACGGATTTATCCTCGCCCTAGCCCCCCCCCCAAAAAAACCCTCAACGTCATGATTGTTTCATCACGTCGACCCCCAAAGGTCTCGACCCTTTCCCCGCGACCGGCTTGTCATCGCATCGCATCGCCAGCGGTACGGAAGCTGTCTGAACTATCACAGAGCGCCGTCACAACTCGTGGCAAGCATCTGGGCGCCTGCTGCTGAAAGCTCTGGCCGAAAAAAACAAAACATCATGTACGATCCTGCAGGATCCTCCACCCAAACCCAAGTCAGTGCACCCCTGGCCCTGCATGATCCTGCACGATCCAGCGCTCTTACCGACCCCCTTTGCATTGACACCCATGTCTTGAGCCCCGAACTGAGGGTGAAACGCTGGCCCTGGGGAAGGGGGCTCCAGACCTCTTGGGGTCCACGAAGTGAGGTCTCAGTATGCCCGTCGGTCGGCAGAAGTGGGCAGAGACACGAGATAGGAAGCAGCCGGAAGCAGATCGGGCTTCCGCCCGCCCCCCGAGCAGGGGGGAAGAGAGAACACCACTCGACTCTTAAGGCAGATTGAGACCTGGGCATCCAAGGCACCTGCTTTCGATCATGGCTCGACCTGCACGGCGTTTTCCGTTCTCGGTTTGTTTTCGTGCTCCCTGGTTGCGAATTCCTTCCGCCTTTGCGGCAGAAGCAGGATCAGAACGAAAAACTGCATGAACATCGCGCCAAGGGCGGCGCTGGAGGCGCCGCAGGGGGGGCCCAGCGCGGATCCAAGAAATCCGCGCGGATGAGCATCGTTTAACCGATCCCTATCCCCACTCGCGTGGCCTGGGCCCCACTGGCCGATTCACCCCCCTAGATGGGGATATGGGCAGTTTCTGCCAGATCTCAAAGCGCACATCCCCAACTGGGAGGATGAGATGGTGGAGGTCTGGACGGGGATGGGGGTGGGGATGGGGATCGGTTGGACGACACTGAGCCGAGCGCCAAAGGTTTATGTTCACGCTGTGTTTTTTGTTCCTCTTCGACGTCAGCGACCGGCGCGCGCACCTGCGCCGATCCTGGCCAGGCCCCTGCCGGGCCCAGGACTGGTGCCGGCGCCCCCCGGGCCATCGGCAGGGAGGCAGACAGCATACGCACCGAGATCTCGGAGGCTGGGGTATGCGCACCGACACCAACACAAGGGGGGTGCCTCCACCAGGGGAAAAGGATCCTATAAGCCTCGTCAAAAATAAACAGCAGACTTCTGAATTCGGTGATTGTGGGGTCAGCGCTACTGCAAAGCTGACGGATGCCTGTTGACTCGGACGCGGTGTTGTCAAAAAACCGACCCCACCCGCTCAGCATTGACGAACAGGCTTTCTGGGCGCCCCCCGACCTCCTCGTCCTCCTCGAGCTCCGGGCCTCCCTCGCCCTCCTCGGTGGCCGCAAAGGGGGCGGCCTCCGCGGGAGCGGCCTCCTCGTCCTCCTCGGCGGCCGCAAGAGGAGGAGGAGGAGGAGGAGGAGGAGGAGGAGGAGGAGGAGGAGGAGGAAGAGGAGGAGGAGGAGGAGGAGGAGGAGGAGGAGGAGGAGGAGGAGGAAGGGGGCGGCGACCGCAGGGCCCTCCTCGTCCGCCTCGGCGGCGAGGGCGGCCTCAGCGACGAGACCCTCACTCTCGGCGGCCGCAGGGCCGGCGCCCTCCGCCTCGGCGGCGGAAGCGGCCTCCGCGGGCGCTGGCGCGGCCCGGCCGGCCTCCTCGGTGGCACGCGCGGCCACGCTCGGGGCCTCCGCTCTCACGGCCGCCGCCTCCTCGGAGGCCTCGGCCAGGCGGGCCCGGAAGGGGGCGGCGAGATCTGCGCGTGCAAGCAAGGCTCTCGGTGAGGATGCGCGGCAGGGATGCAGCAGTGCCTCGGGCGCGCATGTCGAGGCTTTCTTCGAGCAAGGCTGGCCATCGAACAAAAGGGCGAGGATGGACCGAAGATGGCTCAAGAGGCAAGGATGCAAGGGCACCCTTGGGAAGTCGGTCATCCTTACCATCGACTTCGACTGTATCCACTGCCCCCTGGCCGGGCCCATCCTCGGCCCAGCAGCGGTGTGTGCGCCATGCCCCCCGAGCGATTACGAGCAACTCCTGGGCCCAGGAAGGGCGCGGCCAGAGAGCAGTGGGCGTGTAAGATTTCGTAATAAAAGGGAGGGGGTCTGGACCCTCCAAGACAAGCCATTTCAGACCTCCCCCGTGGGAGAACCCTCCAAAACATCGTCCCCAGACCCCCCCAGGCCCTCCAAGATAGCCTGGAAGAGACACCCCCCCCGAAATGAGACCCCCCTCCCTTTATTACGAAATCTGGAGTACAGATTTCGTCGCCCGACGGAATCGAATAGATGACTCGGATCGGTGATCGAAATTGACCGGGCCGTTGGAGAAGTCGGCAGCCGCGCGGGGAGAAGCCCGGTCGGCCGAGATCTCGGCGGGCTGGTGGGCCAGCGAGATCTCCGCGGGGAGAGAGACCGACATCCAGCTCGGAAAGCCGAAGCTTGATGAGCGACCGCCCAGGCATTCCTGTAGGCCTACCACGACATGTTATTAGAACCCCCAAGAATTCTCGGACCAAGAGCAATGTTCGTCTAACATGAGCCCGACGTATTGCAACAAGACTGTCTCGGCCAGACATGTTCTGAGAGCATGTCTCCCATGACCACAGAAAGGTTCCTAGACAACTGCTGGGTGGGCCTACAGGCAAGCCAGGACGCTTCGCCACTGCTCGAGAAGCCGAATCGCATCGGAGGCAGCCCGAGGACCCCCAGACGGTGCGGTGACCGCACCGCGTGGCGAGTCAGTGGGGGTTCCGGGTGACCGCACGGTCTTGTGACCCGGGTCGTTCTCCGAGGACGTCTCGGGCGACCGGGGCCTCCGATGTCCCAAAACCGTGCGGTGATGGACCGCGCGGTGAGGTCCCTGAGGGCTCCGAGGTCACCACGCGGTCCGTTACCGCGCGGCTTTGGGACCTCCGAGCAGCACCGACACCGCCACTAAGCCGAGCATCTGGGGGGACGCGTGGGCAGAAGAGCGCGCGATTGGCAACTCTTCGGAACATACGAAGAGCGCGACAGAAGAGGGTGAGGAGGTGGAAGACAGAACAAGGATATCTCAGATGTGCTGTCTTGTACACTTCTGTAGCCCACTGCTGCCTGGGTCGGCCGCGCCTCCAGTGCACCACCCAGTTCTTGGGTGGTGCACCGGAGCCCCTTATGGACACCCCTTCTACACCACCACTACCATATGTAGGAGGAGGAGGGGGGGAGGAGGAGGACCTCCTCATCCTCCCTTCTCCCCGTCCTACATGTAGTGGTGGTGGAAACTCTGCCCCTCACGACCGACGTCGAATCGAAGCGAGGCCGGAGGCGTGGACATGAGCCCCCATCGCCGGCGGCCTGCGGGGCCTCGGCCGCCAGCGAGGCGGCGCCGGCGGGCGCCGCCTCCGCAACGGCGGGCGCGGTGGAGCCTGGGGCGCACAGAGGCATGCAGTCGGAGCCTCCTCCTCCTCCTCCTCTTCCTCCTCCTCCTCCTCCTCCTCCTCCTCCTCCCTCCTGCTCCTCGTCCTCCTCGTCCTCCTCCTCCTCCTCCTCCTCCTTCTCCTCCTCCTCCTCCTCCTCCTCCTCCTCCTCCTCCTCCTCCTCCTCGTCGTCCTGCAGCGCCTCCTCGAGCAATATCGATCAGAACTTCGACGCCAGGATCTCCCCGGCAGCGACGGAGGTCCGGGTCGCCGATCTCTGCGGAGGGAGGAGGGAGGAGGGAGGAGAACATGAAGCCCTCCGTCGGTCAAAGCAAACAGAGCATCCAGGAGTGCCCTCCCCAGGATGCACAAGAGCATCCGACCAGCACGAAGAACACTAGCTGTGCCCTCTCCAAGCCGACCTCGATCCTATACCTCGGTCCGACTGTACCCCAGAACCCCTCGCGCCGCGACAAAAAAACAGCACTAGTATCCAGATCTCTGGGGGTCAACGTTGTGAACAGATCACGGCGTCGGGGGTCTCGGACTAATACTACGGTATGTCATCCTCGGAGGGGCGCGCCCGACCCTAACAGACAGCATGCGCATCTTGTAGTAACTGTACATCGCTTCCCGAGCGGTGTGGCCACAAAGCGCCCGCCACGATGCACACACGCTAGAAGAGTTCTCGGTGCGCGCGTCGCCCCTGGGAGGCCTGCGCACAAGTAGCACCAGTCAGTGGCTCAACGATGGGGTCCTCGAGGATGGGGTCCTAGAAGGACTTGCAGTGTCTGAGGAGACTCGTCCTTAGGAGACTCGTCCTTAGGACCCCATCCCTCAGAACCCAATCTTCGACCCACCGACCTCGTCTGTTGGGGTGACGCCGAGAGCCCAAAGCGCCGCCGTCGGCGGGCGGGCCGTTGGCCCCGTCGGCGGCGGCGACCTCGCTGGTGGCAGCCAGCCTGGCCCTTGCCTCCGACATGGTTCGGGGTGGCCCCGGCCGGCCCAGGGGCACCGAGGGCTCGGGCCGGGCGCGCTGCGGAGCGGCGGCGGTGGCGGCGGAGTGGCCCGAGACGTGCTCGCAAGGTGGCGTGGCAGAATCACGACACACACACACAACAAAAAAAAAACACGACGCGCAGGGAGCCAGAGTATACAGTCGAGGCGCCGTCACAAGGAACACTAGGAGTCAGGAGCGAGGCCCCTTGCTTCCACAAGTGAAACTTCGATGTCCCTCCCCCTCTCCCTCCCCTCCTCCGCCTCCTCCTCCTCCGCCTCCGCCTCCGCCTCCGCCTCCGCCTCCTCCTCCTCCTCCTCCTCACTCCTCCTCCTCCTCCTCCTCCTCCTCCTCCTCCTCCTCCTCCTCCTCCTCCTCCTCCTCCTCCTCCTCCTCCTCCTCTGGAAAGCCTGAGACAACCTGTAAAACACCGAAGGAACATGGAGAGCCCCTCCCCGACGAAGAGGGTTCCCTCTCTCCAGCGGCCCGACCGCAATCAGGCGCGCCCTGGGTCCAGGGTCGGTGCGCACAGTTCGGTCGGGCATGTCCACCTCTGGGCGGCTTTTGGACGAAAATCAAGGAATAGTCCAACATGAGATTCAAAAATGCTCAAAAAAATGAACAAATCGCCCCCCGAATTATTTCTTGACTATCTTGGACTCTTCCTCCTGTGAGGGGGACGAGCCCGACTCAAAAGCGTGCAGTGCGCCTCCCTGCCGACGCCCCCGGGGGGCGCGTGCACCGAGCCTATAGAAGGCCCAGGCTGGGCCCCGGCCGGGATCGGCGCGGGTGCCAGCACAGTTTTGGGGCCCGACCGCACACGAAACCTCTGGGGGGGGGGGGGCTCGACGCTGGGAACAAACAGATCACGACCTCCTCCTCCTCCTCCTCCTCCTCCTCGACGCTGGGGGTCTCGGCCTAATATGAAGGGGCCCTGGGACACACAAATGAACAAACACCATTCGCAGGATTCCCCACATTCACCCGTACTTTCTAGATGTTCGATTTTCATATATTTTCCTGGGAGTCGACGGTGAATTTTGTCTGTATGTTCTCCCCCCCTGATGATACTACATGTCCTCCTCGGAGGGGCGCGCCCGACGCGAACCGACCGCACGCGCATCTTGTAGTAACGGTGCATCGCTTCCCGAGCGGTGTGGCCAGAAAGCGCCCGCCACGACGCACACACGCTAGAAGAGTTCTCGGTGCGCGCGTCGCCCCTGGGGGGCGGCGCACACATGCAGTTGAGGCCCTGTCACAAGAAGCCTTCCACAAGAGACCCAGCCCCGAGACCCCAGGACGCCCATGGATTTGTAGTGAGGGCGCGCCACGCTCTCCGTCGCAAAGCCATCGAAGCCCAAGACACCCAGGGCACCCCGGAGGCAAGGCGGGTGGCTCTCGGCACTGCGCCCAGACCTGGCCACGTGGGCCCCCAGACCGGCGGCGAGCGAGCGGGGGAAGCGAGAAGGAGAGGGCCCTCGCTCGCAGAAGGCGGGCGGGACGGCTCGGAAGGCCCCGCGCCTCCCGAGGAGTGCCTCCCGCGTCTGCGGGGCAGGCCCGGGAACCTGCTCAGAAGGCTGGGGGGTGGGGGCCTCCAGGAGCCCTCCGAGAAGGCCGCCGCCCCTCCTCGCTTCCCCCGGAAGGCTCTTCTGGCCAGCCTCGGCCGGCTGGGGACCCTGGCCGGGCCCCGGGGCCGTCACGAGCCGGCCCTGGGGAGCGGGCTGGGGCCTGTGCGGGACGCACAGAGACATACTGAGGCTATGCATCTGTCCTCCTTGGAGGCGCGCGTCCGACCCGAGCATACAGTATACCATCTTGTAGTATGCATCGTTTCGCGAACGGTGCGGCCAGAAAACGCCCGCCGCGACGCACATACTACATCAGAGTTCTCGGTGCGCGCGTCGCCCCTGGGGGGGCGACGCACATAGATCACAGTGCGGGCGCGGCGGGAAGAAACCCTCGCAAGAAACCCAACCCTGAAATCCCGCGCGCGAGGTACACCTGAGGGGAAACCCGGAGCACCCTGAACGCAGCAGCTCTTTCAACGGCTACGGGAAGTCACCGCGCAGCGCGAGCAGCGAAGAAAACCAGGATACCCTGACGAAACGCATATGGTTTCTTGATGCGCGCCCCCCCACTGTATAGATGTACGATGGGGTAACGCCGATTCTGGGGCCCAGTATTGACGAAAACAGGGGCCTGGGGCCCGCAGGGGCGGCAGCGCAGAGGGCACCTGCGGCCTCAAGCTAGGTCGGGCGTGTCCCCCTGCAGGCGGATCCTGGACGACAAAAAGAAAGATACCCCCAACAATGCTCAAAAATGTTCACAGCAATACTCTCGGCCAATCGTCCCCCGACTATCTCTTATACTATGTCTGAACACTCCTCCTGCAGAGGGCCAGGCCCGACTCGATTCTGGGACCCGGTACTGCTTCAAACAGGGCCTCGTGTGCCTGGGGCCCGAGGGGGCGCCAGCGCAGAGGGCACCCCGCGGCCTCACGGCCCGCCGCCTGGGGGGCGGCGGCCGGCCAGCCCCGCTCGGAGAGCGGTCGCCCATCGTGTCATCGTCTGTGGGCGCGCTCCCTCGCGCGCGTCGGGCTTCGCACGACGTCTGCACTGCACGCACGCACGCACGCACGCACGCACGCACGCACGCACGCACGCACACACACACACACACACACACACACACACACACACACACACACACACACACACACACACACACACACACACACACACACACACACACACACACACACACACACACACACACACACACACACGCACGCAAGCACGCACGCACGCACGCATAGAGACACACAGACACACAGACACACAGACACACAGACACACAGACACACACACAGACACACACACACACACGCGTGCACTTCTTGTTCCTCGCCGTTGTGGTAAAGCACTCGTGCGGTGACAGAAGTACCCTCGGTACGGATCCACGAATTTCACTTCTATGCGCACGCACGCTCTTCGCACGACGTCTGCACTGCACACACACACACACATACACACATACACTTGTTTGTTCGTCGCCGGCATGGTGAAGCACTCGTGCGTTAACATATGTATCGCTACAAATCCACGAATTGCACTTCTACGCGCAAACAAACGCACACGCACAGACACACACACACACACACATTCACACTCGCTCACACACACAAACACACACACACACACGCGTACATAAGCTCACGCCCAAATACACGCACATACACACATAGAATCGTCCCTCAAACGATGAAGTGACGCACTCGCAAGTCCAAGTGACGCGGGCAACGCAATAAACAAAAACGACAAGAAGACCGACACCCGCACACATGCGCGCAAATACATACCTGCTCAATCCTCTCAGCAAGACAGAAGGCGGCCGCGACGGCGATGTCGACGATGGCAGTACTGACGATGGCAGCGACCATGGAGAGGAAGGCGCCTGCAGGGATGACATCGGCGACGCGGAGGCAGGGCAATCCAATGGCAGGCGGCCCGACATGTGACAGATAGATTGGCACTGATGGTCTTGCCTGCGGCACTTTCATGATACACGCATGCACTGTGCCAGCGCACATACACATACGCATGTTGGATGCCCTCCTTCTGATCTTCCTGGGATGATCCTTGCCCGTACCTTGCCACATGACCACTCCCACCTGCCAAGAAACGGCGAAGCGTGCAGCTGAATGCGCCACATCCACGGAGTGCTGAGGGCGACACTGCAGCCCTCACACTCGGACATGTCGCACTCCTCGCTCTGGTCTGAGGGTCCTGAGCGTCTGCACTACAGGGGGGAGAGGGGGGCGTATAATTCGACTCGCCTTCTCCCTCGCCCGACCCGACACGAATGATCCCGTTGAATATGCGCGCAAGGAGATGAGAAGCAGGGGATCTGATGATCACTTTCAACGTTGCAAGTTTGTTGTATGTCGGCACCGTGGTGTCGCTGCTGCTGACGTTGCGCTGGTTTTGCGGTTCCCTGGTCCTGATGTTGAGAGCCACTGTCTTCACGTTTCATGCTGCTACCTGTATGTGAATCTTGCTTTGTGCTCGCGTCGGCCTCATTGCCCTGCTGCTGATCATGTTTGGCTGATGCTCGTGGAAAACAT